AACTTTGCTAGAACGCGTTGAGGACATGTCATTGGCGCTCTGTTCGTGAACCGGTGCCTGTAGCGAGCGATCTCAGCCACTCACCACAACAACCTCGCCTCGCTCGCTCTCAGATGTTCGCTCCTCCTACCCGAGCTACTGCTGCCTCTGCTTGCCTACCTCTGCTTGTCTCTGTCTGCCTCTGCTGTTGCCTACGCTGCCCCTGTGTACATGCTCAAGTGGAGGCCGAGTCCTCGCGCTGCTTCTCTCTCCCTACCGAGCACTCGTTCTCCCTCTCCTTGCCCTCTGCAAGTCGCGGCCGCCGTGGCGAGCACCTAGTTCGCGAGTAGGCATCGCCGCTGTTTCCGCTGCTCACAGCCACCTCGCGCCGAGCCAGTACCTCCACCAGCTCTGTTGTTTCCCACTTGCCTCTGCGTGCCTCCTCGCCGAGCCTGTCGTGACCAGAGCCCCACCACGCTCTTCTGCTGGTGCAGCCCCAGCTGGGCGTCACCGACGTCTCCATGGCCGAAACCCACAGTGCCGCAGCCGCAGTTGTCGCCGTCGGTGCACGCCGCCTGGCCACCTTGGCCATCGCCAGGCCATGGCCACCACCGCCCCGGCCCGTGCCCTCCTCCTCGCGTACGCGCGCCGCCGCTGCGTAGCCACCCGCGCCAAGAGCACCGTTGCCGTGCGCCCGCTTGGCCGGCGCCGCTGCAGCCGGCGTGCCCACCACCACGGCTCGTGTGGGCAAGCTGCCGGGGCCTAGCTCAGGTCTTGCCACGGCTAGCCCGATGCTGCGCGGGCTTCCGTGCACCTCATCAGTGGGCTTCCCACCGCCGCCGTGCCTTCCCTAGCTAAGATTGACCGTCGGCCGGTGCTCCTCTGCTCCGTGCATCAAGTGGAGGGAGAAAGGTAAAAATAGAAAATGTTTCTTGGAACTGAATGCAAATTGCGTGACTCTAATGAATAGTGCATCACAGTGCTTGTGGATCTCGGGTTGAATAGAGAAAAGCGCGGGGTCTTTCTACAAAATGCGCACCCGTGCCCGGGCCACGCCGCGTGGGCCGACCTGTTGGGCCGCTCACCCTGGGCCTCCATGGCCGCGCCCTGCTCGGTGCCCCACCTGGGCCGGCCTTGTGCCGCCCACGCCTTGGCCGAGTGTGCGCGCTGTGCGCCTAGGCCGCGCGTCCGCATGGGTTGCCACGGCTGCGGGCTGGCCACGTATCCCAGTGCCCAAAGGAAATTTTATTTTCCTTTTTCTTATTTGCAGAAACTTCATAAATCCGCCAAAACGTATAGAAAAATCATAAAAATGGTAAACCAATTTTGGTAAGTTTCTAAAATCATGATCTATCTGGTAGTGTATTTTGTTCGCATAGGTTCTGTATGTTTTTAGGGTTGCTCTAATTATTTTAACATGCTTAATATTGTTAAGACATAAACTTGTAGGAATTTCTGTGATAAATCGGTGATAGTATTAACTCTAAAAATTTTATGGTAGGCTCGTCATAGGGATAGGTGTCCACTGTAATTTTTATAGCTGCAGAGTAATTAAATTGCTAAGATAGCAAATGAGGCCTAGTTTGAATATATAGTAAATCAAATAAATGAAATAAAGGAACACCTTGAAATTGTATAACTAAAACACTTGTTGGAAAGTGACACCTTTCTCGACGATGTTGATACATAGATTAGTACGTTAGTCATTAGAGCTATCTTGTTAGTTCGTAGTATGTACTCTGTTTTAAGAGTTGTTGTTGCCTTGTTAATTAACTATTGCATCATCTCTACATCGCATTGCATACCATAATAGGGATGATGATGGATCGTGGAATCAACTCGAGTAGCGAAAAAGATGGTGCCAGAGATCATGTCACGATGATGGAATGCTAACTTTTGGTTATATTTTACCCAGACAAGCCCCGATGCATAACCCCTACTTTTCTGCATTTTATATTATATTTGGGCATTAAGTTTTAAGGAGTTGAATGAAACCCACTTGCATATATATATATATATATATTTATCCTATGAGTCTTACTAGTATGATAGGATCGTGTAGATTGCTATGCTATAGGACTCCGGTAGAAGTTGAGTGATTGTCTGTCACTCGCGAGAGATAGGAAATATATTATTGTTGTTACTATATTATTATCACCTGGAATCTATATGAATGTTAATTGGAGACCAGGCGAAATGGTACTTTGGATCTAGACTTGGTTGGGCATTTGAGCGAGGCTTGATTGCATTTGTTCCGTCTTAGTCGATTAAGGACCGTCGTTGCATTGGGTTCTAGGCAGGTCACAGACTTATTATCCCGAATACATACTTATGTATGTGCGCAGGAAAGGCTTGTTGCTCTCTTGTCGTGGATTCTGGCTCTTTCCGCACTGACTGATTGGAAGCGGGGATGGTGGAGGTCTAAGCATCGCACTAAGGCCGGGACTCAGGAGCAGAGGCTTGGAGTCCAAGTTTGGATGGGGATCTAGACCCCGTGACAGGAGAGTGGTGGGTTGGTCCTGCTTGTGCCTGGGGTACAAGCAGTGTATGTGTTTCGGGGTACCCAGCTGGGCACAATGATTCACGAATTGTCGGGCGATCCGGTACGACTTGTCTACAGTCTAGTAACGTAGTAAGAACTGAAAGATGAAAGATGGTAAAGTGATTCTGATTGCTTACGACCTATTTAAAAGTAGCATAGGTGCTTACATAGAATGGTTAGTTAATGAACCAATGTTGACTGCTAATAAAATTGAATATAAGGACGCACTTTTAGTAATGCTCCTGCAGATGCAATAAACCCACAAACTAGATATCCTTGCATATTCTTGGAGTCTTTTTCTTTTCTCCTATCGGGTAAGTCTTGCTGGGTATAATTGAGTACTCAGGGTTTTATTTCCCCCTGTCGCAGGTGACAGGCGGATGCTAGAGTTGACTCTTGTGTGTGGATCCCTCCTGGTGGGCTCAGAGAGAATTCCTTTACGCTGCGATCATAGTCTTTGTTTATAACTCTCACTAAATATTTTTATAAATAGAAGTGTTATAATCTGTTGTCATAGTTTATATATCAATGTTTCATCATGTCATGAATAGATAATTATTTCCGCTGTAACTCTGATCACATGTTTATATTCCGCTGTTAAATTAAATTGTTCATAACTCCGATAACATGTTCATATTCCGCTATTATAACAATAAATATTATACTATGATGTTGCATGAAAAGTGATGTAAGAAATGGCTAAAATGTTGTAAGCTTTATTCTCTCATCTGTGATCCTGATGGAAAAATGTGGTTTTTCAGGTTCTCCCTTGGGTGTGCTCGACGAAATTACGTAATTTAGTGTCTCCCTTTGAGTACTTAGTGTCTAATGCAAGACAAGTACTCCTGATAGGCATTAGATTAAGCGGTTTTGCCACATCCATCAACTTTTAAATTGCATTTTTGGTCCCTAAACTTTTTAACTGGTTCACCGTAGGTCCATACACTTTCGTTTAGCGAATAGATCTGATATGTCATGCCAAATAAGCAGCCACCGTGGAGTAGGTGATGAGTCCATAGCCCTCAAGATGCTCATAGAGACTTGTCTAGCAATAATTCAAATGTAGCAGCTGATAATTCGTTAATATCCTCTGATTTTAAATTTGGGACTATTATTTTTAAGGATAAATATATTGTGAACATGGAGAAATTTACAACTGCTCTGTCATCAAAGATTTTTGTAGAGGTGCCTTATTATTGCGTGGAAAGGAGGAGAAAATGAAGCCAACAAAATACATCAGTACTAAATCTAAAGAGGTGGAGATCATCAATGAATTTTTTCCCAATGTGATTAGCATCCTTGCCGTAGTATTTGATTATTTTCATGTATTAGTTTCCTATCCATTTGTGATACACGATCTTTTATCTAGCATCTAGCTTTTAGTGTCTGCGTGCACCTGTGTTCGTAAAATCAAATTGGTGGCTGTGTTTGGACGTGCCATGCATGTTAGCCGAATCAGGGACTCAGGTTCAATCGGTCCTAGTTGGCTCGGTGGAGTCGGAGTTTTGTTTGGTTTAGATGGCCTGCATGCCTATACATGTGGCCTTCGGCCTTATACCGGGTAGATTAGAGTGGATTTTATTGTGGAGTTTATTCCCCGTCGAGTCGCGCTCGAGAAACCCTAGATGGTGATCCTATCAGATTCTTCGTATTGAAGATTATCTCTGGACGATGTGATCTCGTCCTGTACTTCATGGTGGCCGCTTTTTTGGCGTGCCATATCGGATCTATTTGCTAAACGAAAGGGTATGGATCTACGATGAACTAGTTTAAAAGTTTAGGGACCTAGAAATGTAATTTAAAAGTTGATGGACTTGGATGACATACCACTAAAAGTTAATAGACCGAAAAATATAGTTTAAAAGTTGATGAACCTGGATGACACATCACCAAAAGTTAAAAGACCTAAAATGTTATTTAAAAGTTGATGGACCTAGATGACACACCACCAAAAATTAATAGACCTACGGTGCATTTAACTCTATAAAAACAATAAACTATGTTTATTTTCTAAAATGACTCTATTCAATTTAGATACAATTTGAGAATTTGTTTGGAACACAGGAATTTAATATGAATCATGTACAAATTTAACAAGAATCAATTCAATTTCATAGAAAAATACAAAGATAGGAAAAAATTCATGTTCCAAATATACACTCAACGGTACATAATAACATTTATTTGATCACAACACTATACACAAATATTTAATAAGTAACAATAATTAGAAACTGTTCACTATAAAAATCTAAATCTGCCATCACAGTTTTAAAAATTGAAAAAGAACACCCGTCTTGAAAACTGAAATAAATGCACATATCACAGCGCATTCCTGAAAAAAGCAAACTGAAAAGCCGGGGCCAAAGCGAAAGCGGTAGTGAATTTCCCATGTGACACTCAGCTTGTTGTAACTGATTGGTTTCTGAGCTGTAGTTTACTGTGAGAGAAAAAAACTGTTTCCTGACCCCGGCTGATAATGCACCACACCTCCCGAGCTGGCTGTCCCCTCCCCTCCCGCAACGGTAGCATTCGAATCCTCCTCCGGTTCGCCCCAAATCGCCACCCAGGCGCACCCAATGCTGGCAGCCTCCCTTCTCGCCCTCCGCCTCCTCCTTCTCGTCGGCGCCGCCGCGGAGGGGTGGGGGCCGGGGCGGTGGGGGTGAGTGGCGGGGCCCAGCTGTGGTGCGTTGCCAAGAACAACGCGGAGGACGGCGCGCTGCAGAGCGCCATCGATTGGGCGTGCAGCGTTGACGGCGGCCGCGCCGACTGCGCGGCCATCCAGCAGGGTGGCGCCTGTTTCGATCCGCCCGACCTCCAGCAGCACGCCTCCTACGCCTTCAACGACTACTTCCTCCGCTCCGGCGGCGCCGCCAGTCCCGCTGCCTGCGACTTCTCCGGCGCCGCCGCACTTACCGCGCTCAACCCCAGTAAGAACCCCGAATCTCTAGTCCACGCTTTTGAATGATTGAATCAGCAGCATCCTTCGGGTTTGAACTTTTCTTTTAGTTCTTGTTTTTTTGGTTGGATTGTTCCTACGGAATGTGTAATCTTGTTGTGTCGGTGCTGCGAATTGTTTTGCAGGTCATGGGAGCTGCGTGTTTCCTTCCAGGTTAGTACTTAGTAGTGCCCTGCTCCTAACCTCCATATCTGTGCTGTCCTTTCCACTTTGCTCCTTTTGGGTATTCTTACAGTATAGTATATACATACCATTACAATATTCTGGAATCCTGGATCTTGGATATCCAAGAACTGAATATTTCCTGTATTGTGCCATAAGTAGCACTATATGCGCCCAGGCTATGTTCGTGTCTGTTTACAGGGCAAGTTAGACATCAGCTGGCTGAGTCGGCCGTGGCACACAGAGCTCAAGGTGTTCTGCTGACACAACCTGAAGGACTTGAAACACCTGTTGCCAGCCTGATGCAAACCCTAAGTCCTACCTTTAGGTGGCGTTTGGATTGTGGGAAATAGATGATGGGATAGGGAAATAAGGGGGAGGATAGACTGTATCCCTTGTTTGGATACCAGGATAAGGAAATGAGCATGGTTTGGGTTAGGTATAGGAGGCACTCTTTTCCCGGTGATCCTTTCCCAGCGGAAGGGGTGGGTTACATCGGGAAATATCTGCGTCTGCGAGGATCTGAAGCGAAGAGAGACGATGAAGATGGAGCTCGCGCCACCGCACGGGTTGTCGGCCGCCACTCGCGTCTCGCATGCGTAGGACAGCAGAACTACGCAGGGCGCTTCACTCGCGTGCGTCGGAGCCGCCGCTCGCTCGCTCGCCGCTTCACTCGCTTGCGCAGGGCGCAGGAAGAAGGAACCTCCGCTCATCGCTTGACGCCGCTGCTCGCTGCTTGCCTGCCTGCCTAGTGTGCCTGGCGTGCGCGGTGCTGGACGCCAGAGCCGCTGCTCTCTGCTTGCCTGGTGTGCTCGTCTCACAGATAGCCACGGCGCGGGGCCAAACTGGAGGTCGACGACGAGTTCTAGAGGGGATGATGACAACCGGATAAGAAAGGGGAGAACTTTCTGTATTTTTTTATTGTTTGAGCATTCGTCCAATATTTTTTTCTCTCTATTCTCCTTCTGTTAGCTCATTTTCCTTCATCCTTGCTAGCTAACGCTGTGAAAGCAAGGAGATAGCAGCGACGACCTTGCTTGGAAATGTAGTTATTTTCTTTGTTTCTGTTTTCCTTTTTTATTTCTCTATAATCTTATCCCTAACCCAAACTAGTTTACCCAAACAAGGGAATGGTATAGAATCTTCTATCCTCATCCCCATATCCCTAACCCACCCTGCATCCAAACGCCACCTTAGTCAGTACTCGGTACTGCCTGGTTGCTCCTACCACATCTTCCTTGACCTTCCAGTGTCCTGTAACTTCGGCTCCACAATTGCTAAAGTTTGTGATTGTATCACAGTTCCAAACATAATACATACAGTAGGATCTGTAGTTCTGTACCTACATTGACCAAATGCATCCTTCTCTTGGCTATGATTTAACGTAACGATTGAGTGATGATACACAAATAGGATTTTACATCAGTCAATATGTCCCATTGATCCAAATAGTCTTAAACTCTTTATAGTTACCCACTCTTTTTTCAAATCAATTGTCACTCCACCTTGAAGTGACAATTCAGCCATAGAGTTGAAACAAACACACATATATTGAAGTCTTCGTCAAGACAAGGATATCCCTAATTTCTGTTGTGCAATGTGCCCAATCATGCATGTTAATGTAACCAATCCCCCTTCAATAACTTCTCGTTTCTTGTGAACAAGTCCATGTGCTGGGTGTAGAAATCATTCTTCAAATACCTCCCTTGTGAACTTGTGTACAAGCCACTATCCAAATCTGAATTATCTTCATTATAAGTATCTGGTTTGCTGATGACAAAAGCATTTTCATATTATTTTCTGCTACTGACAGCAGGTATCCTTCATTTTCTTCAATTGTGCACTTTTATCATATGAATATGATCTTTTTCATCTCATTATGATTTTTTTTTTGAAACGAAAGATTTTATTGCATCCTAGGAGTAGTACATCCAATTGATACACGTCTTTGGAACAAAAACTTCCAGTCTCTGCCTAAAGGATAGGCACACAGCTAAAGATACAAGACTGAGCATACTCTAGTGACATTGAATCCTAAGACTAGATCGCCACCCATATGCCCGGGTAAAAATATCCTTCGCCATTTGTTCCAAATGTCGCGATGCTGCCATAACTGTATCCTGGAACTCCGGCCTTTGAAGGATAGCCCACGAAAGGAGCCTGTGGGAGATTGCATAGATAACCTGCAAAGGAGAATTAATTTTTTCTTTTAAAAACAAAATCATTCCTGTGTAACCAAATAGACGAACAAGTCACTGCTGCCCCAAGCAAAACTAAAGATCTCAGATGTTTTGTAACTCCATTTAGCCAGCCGCCAAACATATGTGCTACACTTTGGGGTTTTGTTAGATTAAAGGCCACATGAGAAAAACTCCAAATGAAGCGCGCGGAACGACAGTCAAAATTTAAGTGTTAAATCGTCTCCTCTTCGTGACAAAAGCAACAAGTTTTGCTCCCATGCCAATTACGCTTCCTTTGTTAACACTACCCTCCTAAGGTGTCACAGAAAAATATTTAGCTTAATAGTTTCCATAACCGTTTATTCAGATTAGGAACTGGGGTTTGTATCATTGCTTTGTAATGCGATTTCACTGATAATTGCCCATTCGGATGCAAAGACCAGTAAAATTCATCATGACCTTGTAACTGCGAGATATTGGTAGGCGTGCTAATAGATGATTCCACTCCACTAATTTAGGACCTATTAGATCTTGTCTCCAGGAAAAAATAGGTGGATAGGAACTCAGTGCTTCTGAAATTGTGACAAACTTTGGTCTAACAGTGTTGTATAAACCAGGATACTAGTTCATCAAACTATCATTGTGTAACTAGATCCATCTTTATAATAATAAGATATAAAGGAAAACCAGCCCTCAAAATTGATGGCAGTTCTGTGACAACCTTTCGAGTGTTGTGCTTGGAGTCCAGAAGCAAAACCCGGTGCTCTGTGCAACATGATTTATCATAGTTTTGGAACAAATCTTTAGTTTCTGTACAGTATGCATGTATCTAAAGTCAGTCCTAAATTCTTTAATTTTTATAAACGCTCCATAACCTACCGAAGCATATTTGTTGGATGACAAAAATATAGTGTGCCAGGTTGATATGTGCGCTGCTAAGATTGAGGGGGAGAGAGAGCTGAGGGAGAGGCGGCGACGCTACAGTACCCGCGGGTACTGTTCACAGCGGCGGCGGCTAGGGCTGCAAGGGCGCTGGGGGAGGCCGGCCGCGGGGCTTCGCCCACGGCCGGCAAGAGAGAAAGGATTTTCTTCTAATCTCTTGCTTGATTAGATTGATACATCTCCTCTCCTTATATAGAGAGGTTTACTTGACTCCTAAGCAAGCGACTAATTAACCCTAACGGGCTAAGGCCCAATAGGCCCTTGACTCCTCTAACACTACTCCCCACACTGACATACAAATTTCGTCCTCGAGTGCGACCTAACAATGATGCTAACTATGGCTTCACTAGACACAAATCCGAACACCTAAGAACAAGCCTTTTACAACTCGGCTTATTTCAAATAAACTCGACTCTTTATTCTTGAATCCAAGATGCGGCGGACACCCTCCAGCGTCTTTGATGCCAGCTCGAGTAGCCGCTTTGCGGATCCCATGGAGACCATCGAACGAGAGGGTTGCACCGCACGGCATGTGTCTCGAATCAATCGCATCAATGACCAAATGGAGACGACCTCGTGGCGGGCCGACAATAAACGCGCGGCAGCTTAGGTAGTCGCGCTCCGCCGATGACAAAGAGGAGTGCGCTTCTTCTATCATCACTCCCATAGAATCGAGTCGCCGCCACGGAATGGCGACACCATGCTCGCGCTACCGGAGACAACAACGAATTCGGCGCGGTTGTTGTTGGGCCGCTCGACGGGCGGTCGTGCCCCCTGTTGCCGAGGTCGATCGCCGTCAAGGCCGCCTCATGCATCTGCCGGCGCATCTCTCTGCGCATCGGTATTGCGCTGCTAGAGAGGCAGCAGCTGCGCATGTCGCACCGTCGCAGTCGACAATCACTCTTCCGTGCAAGCGCCACTTGCACGGTTCTTTGCCCATGATGGCGATCGATCGCCGGGCCAGTGCACCGAATGGAGGCACCGGACGCCGAGGACGAGGCCCGCCGATCGCGCGGCTTCGCGGATGAGGGCACCGGCGCCGCATTGTCTCGCCAATGTTATGGACAAGGGTCGCGAGGACATCCATCCGGCGCCGCAGTGGTCGGCGGTCGCCATCCACTCACCGGCGCGCCTGTGGAAGAGGTGCAGGCGCGCATGCTTAGACAAAAGGGCGCCACAGCATGGCGTGGCGGTGGTGAACACGGGCGGAGTCTGCGGAGGACAGGCCAGCGAGCCCAAGGATGTGTGCGGCGGCGTGGAGAGAAACGCACGGCGGCGAGGATCCGCCGGCGGCGCTGCGGAGAATGTGAGGGCAGTCAGCAGCCAGTGGATGTCGCGCCGCGGTGTGGAGAAGGGCACAATGCAGTGGATCCGCCGGTGGCGGGTCGGAGAAAGAGGCAGCGCGGCCTGGGATGTGCGCCGGCGGTGTGGAGAAGGGCACAAAGAACAGAGGATCCAGCCATGGTCTCGATACCAAATTAATATAAAGGCTTGTTGCTAAGATTGAGGGGGAGAGAGAGCTGAGGGAGAGGCGTTGGCGCTACAGTACCCGCGGCGCTACAGTACCCACGGGTACTGTTCACAGCGGCGGCGGCTAGGGCTGCAAGGGCGCTGGGGGAGGCCGGCCGCGGGGCTTCGCCCACGGCCGGCAAGAGAGAAGGGATTTCCTTCTAATCTCTTGCTTGATTAGATTGATACATCTCCTCTCCTTATATAGAGAGGTTTACTTGACTCCTAAGCAAGCGACTAATTAACCCTAACGGGCTAAGGCCCAATAGGCCCTTGACTCCTCTAACACAGGTTGTTCAAGATGTTTAGTATCTCACCACTTACATTCTGTAGTTTTTAGAAATTGGGATTGCTTCCTTGAGAAAGCATAATATATTGGAGCTGCCTTTTGCTGTTTGAACTGACCTGGGGAATATTAAAACACGCAGACTTGGCTTTTCTTTTCGATTGCATCTTCAATAATATGCCCAGTCTCTGCTAAACCATTAACCCTTTACTTTGGACACTGCAGTGCATCTCCAAAAAATGGTAGCTTCACAGGAACGACAACCTATGGTCCAACGGGTGCAGATTTCAGCAACAGTTTTTCATGGAAACTCAACTTCTGGTCACTGCTCTTGCATATATCTTCATCTGTAATGTTTTGTGCTGCCACACATGTGTTATAGTTTTTCATAAACTGTGTTCTGCGAGTACGATAAACTATCAGGCTGCAGAATGTGGTTTGTTCTCTGGTTCCCCCTTTCGGGTTCTGCATTGTTTTGGGGAGGCTGTAGGGAGAGAAAAGAATCCAATATCTGCTGCTCCTTCTCTTACCCGTATTATTTTAAATGAGCATGTAAAGAGGTCCAGGCCTCTTCAGTTTTGACTTGGTCTTGTGCTTTCATCCTTCTGCTAACTGTAAACCTTATTATGTGCACTAACCTGCTGTCGTGGTGCTATATCTGGCAATTTGTTGCTCAGTTTTCAATAGTGGAAACAAAGTTGTAAGAATTGATGTGTCAACATGCTCACTTTTCCAATGAAACCGTATGCAAACTCGCATAATTATACACACTCTGTACTCATCAACATCGATCTTAAGCAGCACAAGTGCAGCATGATCTCTACAGTTGAGTGAACGGAGAAACTGGCCTAGTACAAACATCTGTTACAGGCCGGCACGTGAGGATTTATCTATGCAGGGGAAGGTTGAGCAAGCTGCTGGGGCGTCGTCTCCTGGCCGGCGCCGGTCTCCGAGGGACCACCAACCCTGCACCGGCAGAGCGGGCACGTGGAGCGCGACGACAGCCACAGGTCGATGCAGTCGCGGTGGTAAACATGGCTGCACGCGGGCAGCAGCTTCACCATGGCGCCCACCTGGATGACGCCGAGGCAGACCGCGCACTCGGTCCAGCTCGCGCCCTTGCCGCTGTGCCTCACCAGCCGGTTGTACATGAACGGGGGGAGACCCGCTGCGGCGGCGCTCAGCGGCAGGAGCTCTTCTTCTGACTCGGCGGAGCCTCCTCCTGAGCTTGCCGCGAGGCCGTCGTACGCGGAGGGCTGCTGCGGTCGCCGGTGCGCCAGGTGCCTGTACAGCGAGACGAGAGCGAAGGCGGCGGCCGCCGACGCCGTGACGGAGCAGAAGAAGAGGAGGTTGTCTGGTGACACTGCGAATTGCATGGCGCCCAACTGAGATGGAGATGGCTCGAACTCGGCTGAGGGATTTTTATGCCGGCTGTCTAGTTGCGTATGCTGGCACGCTGCCTCAGTGCCTCTTCTACTAGCCGTTTTGAGTTTTCTTGAGCCGAAATGGAGTGTACTGATGATTGGGTTGGTGTGTCGGAAAGCTGAAGCCTTAACAAACACTTCTGCGGTGGTTAACATAGCAACTACAGTATTGCTTTTATTAATTTGGAAAAATTCTGCCACGTGTCTGCATCAGACCGAGCACATGGCAGGTATGTTATCGGAGCGGAGCTTTCAGCGGGTAGCTTTGGTATGCTATGACAAGATCCTGCTGACTGAACGAAAACGACAGGGCATACGGATTAGGCGAACGCTCACATCACCGATCTGGATGCGATTAAGAAAATGTTTTTGTCGTGGGATTAAACCGAAACATGCTTGTGATACAAAAAAAAAACAAACAAACATAATCCCTCCATCATAAAATAAGTGTGATTCTCAATTTCCGAGAAGCCAAATATTTATAACTTTGACCAAACATATATTAATATTTATGTTGCATAATTAGTATCGTTAGATGAATCATTAAATATATTTTCAAAATAAATTTATTCCGAGATATAAATGGTGATATTATTTTGTATAAACCTAGTTAAAATTGAGAAAGTTTGACCAGCACGCATCCTATAACATCAGTTATTTCGGGACGGGGGAGTAGCGGAGAGCCTCAGACCAAGTTAGGTTCTTTCTGAGCAAGGGATCAGCTCTACAGTGCCCTCAGTGGCAAATTGCAAGTTTTTTTTTTTTGAACTTAAACAGGCTCTCACAGCCTTATATTTAAAGACGATTGCTCAGCCAAATCGTGAGCAACAAGAATATTTACAAACTTTGGGAGGGGGTCCAACCAAACAACGGATTGTCCTGGGTCCCAACTCATATCAAGCCTAGCAATCTCATGAGCTACTGAATTACAAGAGCGTGGAATATTTCGAATACAATCACATCTAAAATGATCAGCAAGAAGCACCCATATCTACTATTATTAAGCCAGTTTGCTTGGGCCGCCGTTTAGGCCGTCCACGTTAGCAGAAAAATTTTACGCCGTTTGATCTCTGTTTTACCTTTCAGATTTACTCTTCCAATTGTTTACTGTTGCTCCACATGTCGCCCTCCTTCAGATCAACAGCAACAAAAATATCCTGCTCCACCGACTTCTCCTCGCTTCCAGATTTAGATCCAGATCGGGCCTCTCGATCCCTCAAAGCCCTCTCTCCGCCATTGGCCTCCCTCCCCGCCGCCCGTGCAGGCCATTGCCTCTCTCTCTCTCTCTCCCCGTGCGGCGGTGAAACGGTTGGCCCTACATTAGCCACCCTCCGGCCTGCGCGGCGACCGACGCGACCGGTTCCGCCATGGCCGCAGCCCACGCAGCAAGGCTATCCCTCCCCGCTTCTCTCTCTCTCTCTCTCCGATGATCTTGGCGGCGCACAGTGGCTACGGCCACAGCAGGCGGCGATCGCTATCCCCCTCCGCTTCCCCACGCCGCGCGCCTCTCCCCTCTCCTCTCTGATGTGGCTCGGTCATGGTGGGTCCCGGCCGTCGTGGGTTGGCGCAGAGAGCGGACCATGGCTTCGTGTCCGCTCATCCTCATCTTCGAGTTTTATCTCAGTTTGCTCATGTGCCTCTTTTTTGTGGTGCTTTCCCTGGTTCGTCTTTCTCAGCTAAGATGGCATAAATATATTAATTTGGGACACAGCTTCATACTGCTATCTGATGTATGTATTTATCGTACAAATTTCATTTCTGCACAATATTTTTACTGATATGAGTGCTCCGTCCATGACCAAATACTGTTTTCCCTCTAATGCTTGGTGCAAGTGATGGACATGTGTTTTTGCTGTATAGCTTGTGATGAAAATGAACTCCCATTTAACTTGCAAATATAGACTGATGACCTTCAAAGGCCCACGGCATGTTCATGAATATATGTATCGCTATCTGTTTATTTATCTTACCATGCCGCTTCCCTAGGCTAGGTTTATTGCAATGCTACCTTAATAAGAAGAAATTTCATGTGCTGGCACTATACCCCACTCCTCTCTACATCCACTGTATATGCCTGCAACGTAGATTGCTACAGATGATGCTATTTCTCAGTGCATGCTGTTGTGCCTACCTATGAGAGATCAGATGATGTCATTTTGTTCATTTCTGAGGCTACTCTTATTCCCTAGATTCTTTCTAATTTTTAATTATCGTGCCCTTACAACAATCTGCCCAATTTGCTTTACTTCTAAGGTGTGAGGATAGTTATATTCTCCCTTCTTTACAGAATGATGACCCTCAAATCATGCGTGAGTTTGTTATGAGGTACTAAACCAGACATGGATGAGGGATTTGAGCCAAGTGTTTAATTTGCTTCCTTTCTTACCTTCATTTGGGTGCACATGGATTCTGATTTTACATGAATTTAATTTGCTTCCTTTCTTGCCTTCGTTTGGGTACACATGGATTCTAGCTTCCTTTCTTTCTTGCCTTTGTTTGGGTGCACATGGATTCTGATTTTACAAGAATGCTGAGACAGAATTGCCTCCCAGCTAGCGGTAAAGTGGATGCCATGCTCTTCTGATTGTACAAAGGTTGGTTATCACTTTTGGGTTTCAAGAAGGTAAAGCGTTTTTATCGTATCTGCTCTCCATACTTTTCACTGGCTAGATGTGGAGCATAATATACACTGAAAACTATTATCTGAAAATTACTATCTATATCGGTCGCTGCAAATTGTAGAAACTATTACGAGTACATGGGCTACTTTTTATGGTCTTATCGCTTGCTAGTTATTTTTCAGTATTTCACAGGAATTCAGAACACTGCTAAAGACAAGTACCAATCCTGAATTCAACAAAGAACTTACACTTTGCAGTTCCTGTTATTGGTAAGGTCTGATACTTGCTTGGTCGATTTGGTGCTCCTATATACCGATTTCATCCATATGTATTTTATTTTATTTTTTGCCAGCTGCACATGCACTTGATTTGGGGGTAAATCCATTGGGTGGAGGGATTCAGTAGGCCGGATCAGTTAGTATCTGTCAGGAAAGCCCTTTACCATGCTGTCGTATTAGGCGGTTTTTGTCATATGTTTAAAATCGAATTATCCTTGTGCTAGAGTGCAAGACAAGTAAAGGATCCTACTTCATTTTGGTTGCTTTATGTATTGCTTTTCTTTGGGAGGTCTCCTATCAGATATAGCACCTCATATCATGTTCAGGCACTAATATGTTGTGCAAAGATAATGTTTCTGTAACCATGAGGGGGCACGTTTTCAGGCTCTGCTAAATTGAAATCATGTGATTTTAGGTAGTTGCCTGTAATTTTGGTGTACATATGGGATATGAGACATGGATGAGAATCCAGTCTATCATGCTTTTGTGTTTTTTATTTTGGAGTTACAAAATTTGCAGATTCCAGATCATCTTCTAACTGTGGATATGCCATAGGGCATCTTACTATGATTAGTTTTAGGCACGCTAAGCATGGAACAACTCTTTTATCTTCCTCCATGAATCGTGATATTATTTTCCCCTAATGATTCGAATTTTTCAATTTCTAGCTTTGTCTAATATGCCATATGTGCAAGATAATATTATTTCCCCCCTAATGAAATGAATGCCGCACATGCCTGTTCAGTGGTGCACCTCTTTCAACTCTGTAACTAAGACAGTATGGCTACTACACATCCAGTCCTTCAGGCTTCACGTAATAAACCACACCCTTGTATATTCATGGCCTCTTTCTCAAAAAATTTCTCCTCAATCCATTATTGCAGCTTTTATTTTCCTACTGCAATATATTTCTCAAGCAATTGATGTATTACATCTGTTCAAAAGGGATCAATGACTTTGCCGGTCACTACCAATCGTACTAACAGAGTCGACAAACAACTTCTCGTTTTTGAGGATTGAGGTAACACCTGATTTCATAGAGCTAATTTTATACATAAGTTCCATCAGATTGAAGCTCATTTGTGTTTGTTTTCTTCGTAGTTCGCTCAATGGATTATAATATACAACACTGTTAGAATTTCATGGGGGTGATATGATCTTGATGGGACTATTCATGACCAACAATTTTTCCTACTACCACATGTTTTTGTTATGGTTCTATAGTCTTATGTGATTCATCGTAATTAAAAGCTATTTATAGTTAAACTAAAATTAAATAGGAGTACAAACAAAGATGACTTAACCCCTTCCCTCCTCCCCTTCCCGGATATCTAGCTTGACCTATGGCCCACTTATCAGTTGGTATATCTTAGCATGAACTATAAAATTAATTTTAATGGCCAGTCGTTAATAAGCCTAAACTATAAAATTAAGTTCCATGCACATTATTGTTGTTTACTAATATATTTTAATGCTTTTAATGCACATGTTGATGCTTTTGTTACTGAAGGAATAAAAGGAGATATGCAATGAGCACTTGTGCTCTAGAAGATGAAAAGATCAAGTGCCACTTCTATTGCAAAGAAGTGCAATTCATAAAAGGAGATGCAATGAGCACTTTTGCTCTAGAAGATGAAAAGATTAAATGCCACTTCTATTGCAAAGTAGCACATTTCCAAAGGGACGGTTTCATTCTCTTAGATTGGCTCAAAAAGAAAAGCGATGATGTTTTTTTCCTATATAGATGAGTTCCTTTATATTGATTATGCCATTAATACTTGGTGAATTGACTAAGGTTCACTATTCATGTTGCATTCTATGCAAGGATTCAATAATATAATTGCCTCAAGAAGAGGAGAAATAGCAATAAGAGTCACCAATGACACTGAAGTAGAAGTTGAAGCTATTGGACTACTCCCATTAGTGCTGCACAACGTCTTCACTCTTCATTTAGAAATGTGCTCTTTGTACCCACTATGAAGAAAAAATCTATTTTAGTTTCATGTTATTTAGTTCAATAATAAGGATTATGTTTTTTCCTTTTCATCAAGAAAAACTTTATTTGCTTTGTCTCAGTGATGTTAATAATATTAACTCTTCTCCAAACTAAGTAACAAGCATAAGAGAAAAGAGAGGATGAAACCTCATTGAAATTATGTCATTGTCGTTTTGGCCATATTTCGAGGGGCATAATTGAATGTATCATCAAAGAATAAATACTCCAACTGTTAAATTTCTTTGCGTCAGATCATTGTATTATGAAAGTGCATCTAGGCCCCATAGTGGGTTTCGGTGGTTCATGACAAAACAATTAAAGGACTAATGAGCAGAGCCTAGATCATATATAGATTAAGAGAGACGTGAGTACTTTAGAAAGTAAAATGAAAGGAAGGAGTTGAAGAAGCACTTCCCTATTTAATATTATATAATGAAATAGATAATAGACACAAATATAGGGCTTGTGCTTTTGAAAAGCTGGAAATGTGGCTTCTGAGAAATAAACTAAAATTGAAAAGCTGGGTTGCTTTTTGGCTTTTGGTGTGCTGAGAAGCTAAAAATTTATTATAAAAGTCAATAGCAAAAATTCAATACTCATAAGCTAAGCCAGCTTTTGAGTTAAAAGCGAAAAGGTTGTAGCTCAAACAAACATGCCCTATGCATAAATATAGACTATAACCTGAATTCCCGGTCAAAAAAATGGCAGATGAAAATATACACTGCATTATTTGCACATTTATATATATGGTACAGGAAATAACGAAATTCTTTTACAACACACACCTAGTTCTCTTGTGATGCAACACCATATCCATGCCGTGAAGGACTGAATCCGAAGCCGAGCGCGCCTAAACCGGCGGGAGCAGGCCGCCGTGCATCGTCGGGTCGTCAGTGCCCGACCGGCATAGCGGGCACGTCGAGTGCGCTTCAAGCCACGGGTCGATGCACTCGACGTGGTAAAGGTGCAGACACAGCGGCAGCAGCCGCACCGTCTCCCCGGCCTGGAACGCGCCGAGGCACACGGAGCACGTCGCCGCCTCGTCCCCGCCGCTCGTCACGTTGTGCCTCACCGCTCGGTTGTACGTGAACGACGGGAGGCCCGCCGTCGGGCTTGCGCGTCGTGTGGGGCCGTCCTCACGGTCGCTGTGGTGGCGGCGCAGCCACCGCTCCTCGTTGTCCCAGGGCTCTGGTCGTGGTGGCGCCTGCGGCCGCGCAGCGAGGGCGGCAGCCGCTGCGGCAGCCTCGGCCGCGGCATTGGCGCGGCTGTTGCGGTACCCTTGGCAGAGGCTGCACACGAAGGAGAGCACGAGAAGGAAGGCACCGATGGAGATGCCGACGCCTGCGATGACCCCGCCGGGGGACGTCGCGTTGTTGTCTCTGGGCTCCGGCGAAAACTGCCTAGGCGATATCAGGGGCGGTGGCGGAGACCACGTAGAGCGCGGCGGCGGCTGTGGAGGAATGAAGGGAAAGCCCGGTGGCAAGTAGCCAGCCATGGGTGAAACTTGAAATCAGCTACGCTGATCGATTGTTAGCTGCTGTTGGCCCGTTGTTTGTGCTTGCATGGGTTTTATACTGCGAGCAGGAATTTTGAACAATCCGTGTTGAACGATGCAAATGCGCAGCAATCTGGAAGGCATAAATCTAATACTAATTCTTTTTTATATGCCTTCACTCTGGAGAGAAACCATTCAATTCGGAGCTTGAGGTCAAATGGTTAATATCTGAATCATTGCCAAATGCGCATCTAGGAGAGGAAAACGATCGACGCACCATTAGCGCGGTTTTGATTTGTTTAAGTGTGACAGCAACTGGCCGGCGACGGTACTCTTACGCTGTCAGGGTCGTGCGAACGTCAAGTCGTCAATCAAGGTTTGGTTCAGGTTAGTCACGTAGAGACAAAAAGAAACATTTGCAGCGAGTGCTGACATTCAACTATTGACAGCGGAACAATGTTAATTACATGAAGGTAATAGTATAGTTCGTTGGCGTCGAACAAAGAAAGGACAATACGGTTGATGGATGGTGCCAAAAAGGATGGTCGTCAGACGTCAGGTGGTGCGTGTCGATATATACGTGCTGGGGTTAATTGTTTTTTTTTGAAATCAGGGGTTAATTGATTTGATCTAGCTATATACGTAGTCCTTTAATTTGTACGGTCCATCCTATATGTATAGCAGCGTCCTTTCACCGCCGGGTCACCACGAGCCACAATCGCCCACCGCAGACCACAATCTTTATGTAATGTGCGTTGGCTTTTGTACTAACACATGTCATCATCTTCTTAGGTGGTGTTTGGATAGTGAAAAGAGAAAGGTGAGAAGGGAAATAGCGGGAGGAGGATGTCTTATCCCTTGTTTGGATTTGAGGGAAAAAAAAAGAGTTTAGCATAGGGCAGCCATTGCGTTTGCGTCGGTGGAAAAAGAGCCTTTCTTATCCTTATATATGCTAAACCCATTTCTTCTCCCACTCCTCAAATCCAAACAAGAGATAAGACATCCTCCTCCCGCTATTTCCTGTTCCCACCATCCAAACACCACCTTACGGTTTAAGTTTGGGCCTTAGGGCAATCTCCGGGGCATGTTAGCTTATCACTTAGCAATAACGAGTCTATAGCTCTGGCAATTAGTACTAGGTCACCACACTACGTTTCACTCTTTTTCTTTAATTTAGACCCACAGTTCCTGCAGCTCAACATGGCACACAGAGAAAACAGATGGAAAATAGCTTTGCTTATGTCAGCATATATAATAAATGACTCAAAACTTAAAAAGTCACAGTTCACAAACCAAGTATCCAAATTAAATTTTGATTCCACTACCACTTTTTTAACAAATAATCCTTCAAAACAAGATCCGACTTAGTTATATGTAAAAAACATTTGTTGAGGAATATTTTTCTTATGAGGATAGAATATCTTCCTTTCAGAAGCAAGACGATGTTCTGAGTTTAGGAAAAAAAATGTTTTCCCTTCACAAGAAAAAAATGTCCTATCTTCAAGAGACTAATATTCTAGATTTAGGAGAACTAAACTTTATATTTGGGTGAATCATGATCCGTAATATTCATGTCAAGTAATAATAGAAAAGGAACATATCATAGATACTATGCAAACAGACAACTATACCGTGTACATCCCATGAATACCATGTGAATAATCCAAAATACATCATAAAATATCTCAGGGAATTTTTTACGCACAGTTGAAAAATATCGTGGAACATCCTATAGGTGTTACGTGAGCAACCCGAAGTACATCATGAACATCTCCTGAGTACTATAGGAGTGTTGCAAAATTCACAATGTAAAGAACATGAATATAGGAAAAATACGCAATGTATGAACATTTGAAACATCCGGGCACTACTACAGGAATGGTTTCTAGGGACGGCTGGTGAGGTTTTATAGAGGCGGCTCGGCTAGCTGCCCCTACCATACCGTCTCTACAAATCATGCATTTGTAGGGACGGTTCCCAGACCGCCCTTACAAATCGATTTGTAGATGCAGCTGGTGTTACCAGCCGTCCCTACAAATCGATTTGTAGGGGCGGCTGATAACACCAACCGTCTCTACAAAATCGATTTGTAACAGCCGCCCCTATAATACCTGTTTGTAGGGACGGTTCAGTCTAGAACCGCCCCTATAGTACATTTTTTTGTAATTTTTTTTTCAAATTTACAATTATATATATATATAATTCAAATCTGACCACAAACACAAGAGCATTATATAAACTACCATTACAAGTCTAATTCACAAGAATATATATAATCCATCATTAAATAGACATAATTTACAAGTCTATTTCGTTCCACAAGTCTAAACCGTCCCACAAGGTAAGACCAATATCAAATTCCATACATATTGTTATCAACGGCCTAGAGCTAGCCTTTCAGTCTCACGAATGTATTGGTACTGATGATTTCTACCTAAGTGAACGTTACAAATATGTATACAAACATATAAGCTAATGAGGATTGTCGATATGTATACGTCTTGAGAATTGATATGAAGTGACTGGGCTCATGCACACTGGACAGCTCATGCACACCTGCAAAAATATAATTAACTGATTAGCTTTACTTGTTAGTAAGCACACATCCAAAGTAACTGGGCTCGTAACTTTTCTCGTTTGTGGGACAATTATTGCATTGTTGCCGAAAACACAAAATGTCCATGAGCTGTAGAAGCAAAAGGCATCAAAGCCCCTACATTATTTTAACTAATCCATCTTGGCACTTAAGTTTACACTACTCCCTAACCAACATGTAAAACAACAAGAAAGATAATAAACAAAGGATAGAATGGAACAATATGAATCCTTGACAAAAAATATCATTACTTTTCAAGCACTAATTTTATAATATATCATCACAATTTAATTACTTAGATTTATCATCACCAATTAAACCTATGCTCTGATCCTTCTCCACTAGGAATCCAAACATAAAAAATATCTCCAAAATCTAGGTCTTGGTAAGGGGAAGTTCTTACTTAAATTTCTTGAAGACAACTAGATGATGGGCGCTATTCATGGTCCAGGTCCGCATGCCTCGCACCCCAGGGGGAGGAGATGCTCTGCGAGAGAACTTCTGCGCTTACCCCTACATGGCGGTGGCGGCGGCAGCCGCAGTCCAGCAAGCATCATGACCTTTTGTGCCCTCCCCATTCTTTGTCCCGCCAGCGTCCCTGTATGCACAACGAGCGGCAATCAGTGCCGTATCACGACCCTAGCACACGCACGGGAGAAGGGAGCCAGGAGGCGGAACTCACCTTGGGTGGCACCTTTGCCGGTGTCGTGAGTTGCCCCATCCCGCCCGGCGTCCTCCATCGCGTTGCCCAGATCTGGTCCAGGATCACGGCCGCTCCTCTCACAATTGCTGCCAGCACATCTCGGCCACTCACCACTGTTCAGGGCGAGATCTGGTGGCCGACGGCTGGCCTGGAGTGCCGGGCTAGCGGCCGACGCCCTGCCCTGATCCGCAGGAGGAGGAGAGGAGTCAGCAAGTCGCGCGTGTAGGGGAGAGGAGGCGTCGGGGGAGTCACCACGAGCACCCTGCAAGCCCATGTGACCTAAGCAGCCACCGTGCCCTTCACCCAAACCCTATGCGTGGGCGCTCCTGCGCGTCGAGTGGAGCTGCCGCCGCCATCTACCGATCCCACCTCTCGTTTTCGACTTCTAGGCCGCGAGTTCTATTTTCTTTTTCCTAGAGAAATCGAGACAGAGAAGGTGGGGATTCGATCCGTGACCGCGGAAGGCGTATTGGGGGCGTATTAGTGGAGCCGCCTCTACATATCAGCCGCCGCTACAAATCGACGTATTTATAGTGGCGGCTCGTATTACCAGCCGCCCCTACTGTGCCATTTGTAGGGGCAGCTGTTGTGCTGGAGCCCGAGCATGTCACTATAGGGGCTGCTTCAATGCTAGCTGCCCCTAAAAAAAAGTTCCGTTGCTTCAAACTGTTTTTCACGTAGTGTGGGACATATATGGATACTAAATGAACAACCAAAAATACATAATGCATGGTGAAAATTTGAATGTTTTCGTAAAATATTGGTCGATGGATGTATATATGCCAATATATGTTTTTTGTTTTAGTCTGGAATGAAGTTTTCCTTAGAGGCTTAGGACCTTCAATGAACAGGCATAGACTTTGGAATTATGGCAATTCCGAAATCCTTCTATGAAATGGTAGAAAATGAAGGGTCGTTATCTGAACACGTAAATAACATGTACATGTATTATAATCACATTATCCACAAATAATAATACTAACAACTAAAACAAAACAGTAGGGTAAATTCTGTTATTACTTTTGGCATATACTAGTAACCTAATTTGTTCTGCATCCATTATCTGAAAAACAAGTCTGAAAATATTATATTGAAATTGTAGTGTTTGTGGTAACGAAATATTCCTCTCTACTCTAGTCTCTACCAATGAAAAACCATATACACGCACCCAAGCTGAACTGAAGCCGACCACGCCTAAACCGGAGGAAGCAGGCCGCCGTCCATCGTCGTCGAGTCGGTGCCCGACCGGCAGAGCGGGCACGACGAGTGCGCGTCCAGCCAGGGGTCGATGCACTCGACGTGGTACAAATGCAGGCACACCGGTAGCAGCCGCACCGTTTCCCCGACCTGGAGTGCGCCGAGGCACACCGAGCACGTCGCCGCTGCCTCTTCACTGCCGCCGCTCATCACGTTGTGCCTCACCGATCGGTTGTAAGCGAAGGACGGGAGGCCCGACGTCGGGCTGGCGCGCCGTGGCCCGCCTTCAGGTGCGGTGCGGCGCTGCTGCTGCTCGCTGTGGCGCGACTTATCTGACACCGTTGGCTGAGGTCGTAAGGTGAGAGCTGCAGACGCCGTGGCAGCATCGGTGGCCGCATTGGCGCGGCTCTGGCGATGCCCTCGGACGAGGCTGCATATGCAGCAGACTGAGGAGAACAATAACAGCAGGATCCCAACGGCGATGCTGACACCTGCGACGGACGCCATGTTGGAGCCGTGGAGGCGGTGGGCGACTGGGCGTGGAGGAGGTGGAGGAAAGACGAGGCCTGTGTGATGAGTACAGGCCCGATCTTCCGAGAGGTAGCCGGTAAGTTCGATTTGTGGAGATCTCGACGTTGACGATCCAGTTTCAAATCAGACGCGATTCGAACCCTTCAATCGTTACACCACTGCTCCGTTGGTTATCAACCAAGCACAACTTGATTGACCTCGCCAAGAAGGCTTTTCCTGCAAGCGAATCGAAGAGCACAAGCAAGAAGGTAAAACACGCAATCTGATATTGCAAATATGAATGACGCGAATATCAATAGAGGGTTCTAGAACTCGGTTCCAAAGGACTAATCGACACAAGTGGAGGAGATCAAGAACGGGGCCCCGGATCATTCAGTAAAAGGATTTGTCACCACAGCTTACAATGAACGATTCTAGTTTCGATGGAAAACTAAACTCTAAACTAAACTCTAAACAAAACCCAATTGTGTACCAGCGGCGACGATTATGTTTATAGTCTAAGACTCACCTAGGGTTGGGGATGGCAAGGGTTATCGCCCACAACTTGGGCTTAAGGCCCGACACGATACATGGCCAAGTTGGCCCAAATAGGTGACGTAGCACCTTGCCGTGGTCACATAGAATGATCCACGGACCTTCTGGAGCTGGGACTAGATCCAAAACGACGGCGTCGTCGTCCCCTTTCCAACACATCCAAGAACGGCCCGTTTCGATGTCGTATGAGAAAGTTATGACCAAAAAGAACATGAATATCTGCTGAATCTGAGGCGACGTGACAACCTGAGTTGGGAACGAATTGCAACTTGGGGAAGACCATGGCGTCGGTGTGTCCAGCATGGCGATGTCCTCATCATCCTCCCCTTCTCGAATTGAGTCGCCCTCGACTCCATCTTGGCGATGTCCTCATCATTCCCTCCTAGAATTGGAGTCGCCCTCGACTCCATCCCATCATCGTGAACTCCTGCAAAAGGTTAGTGACAAAGCAGCAATGCACCGTATATAAAAGGTTGACAAAACATAGTATAACATGGTGCATCAGATTATCACATAACTCAAGCAAAGAGCGAGAAGTTGTAGCAAGAAAAGCACCTCCTTTTAATTTAATCCCATTATTTTTAGCAATGTCTCATTGGAGGTTTATTTTTAATCTCATTAGCATGTTTAATAATATCCGTAGGAGATAAAGGCAGCAATGTAATTTTCTTGTCCTTATGTATGATAGTGTATGTATTAGTTCTACCATGGTGTAAAGCATTATTATCAAATTCCCATGGTCGACCTAACAAAATGGAACAAGCTTGCATAGGGACAACATCAAAATCAGCAGTATCATGATAAGAGCCTGTGAAAAAGCTAATGCGTGCTGATTTAGTTATCTTAGTCTTACCACTATTATTGAACCATTGAAGTTTATATGGATATGAATGTTGTCGTGTGGTCAAGCCAAGCTTGTCAACCAAATCTGAACTCACCAAGTTGTTGCAACTCCCGCCATCAATGATAGTGAGAACACGACAACCCTGCATAATGAGATACATGTGGAACAAATTGTGGCGTTGGATCTTCATCTCTTCTTCATGTCCCACACGTGTACTCAACACACGCTGCACAAGAAGGCTAGGGTAGTCCGCGGTAGCAGCCACGGAGTCAATGGTGATGGCCTCCTTGTCTTGATCGCCCTCGGTGGGATCTACATCAATGTTAGCAGCAAAGGCTAAATCATCTTCAACATCACTAGCACTTACATATCCATCCTCGGTAGCAATGAAAGCGCGACGACTAGGTCACTCCTTCATGACATGTTCCATGCCTTTGCATCGGTGGCAAATGATTTTAGAGCTGGACGAGGAGGAGCTAGTAGAAGCACCTGAGTGGCACCTTTCTTCACTTGTGGAAACGCACATTAGACAATTTACTTACCCCAAGAAGAAAATGGAGGTGTAGATGGTCAAGTGCAACAGAAGCTTGGGTGTCTCCGATTCGAACGCAACTTCCTCCCATTGTTAGACCTGAAAGGCTGGTGTTGTTTTTGCGTCCTCCAGATTTCTCGTTCGCCTTTAATAGCAAGATGATATAATTGGGAAAAATTAAATCATTCTTTTGTAATCAAGTATGTTCTCAGTATATCATGGTTTAAACCACCAAAAAAAATAGCACTAGCATTATTATCATCTTCATTTATACTACAACGTGCTAAACCAATAAGCAATTCTTGATAGTATGCTTCTACTCCTTTATCACCTTGTTTTAAAGTTTGTAGTTTCAAACGTAAATCACGTTGGTAATAAGGAGGAACAAAACGAGATTTCATACGTTGCTTTAAAACATTCCAAGTTTGAGGGCCAAGTTCTTACTGACATTATTGGCATTGCAAAGATCACTCCACCGAACAAAGCAAAATTAGTAAACTCACTAGTAGCAAGTCTAACTCTATGCTCAGCAGGAACATTATGAGAATCAAATTTTTGTTGAACAGCAAGCTTCCAATCTAAATATGCCTCTAGATCAACATTACCAGCAAAAGGAGGTAGACTAAATTTAATTTTAGCAAAAAGATCATTATTACCATGATTATTACCTTCTATACCGCTGACGATTGAAGTTGAGAGGCGACGGGCACCACCGCGCAAGATACGCATCTTCATCACCAAAAGCATCCGCATCTTCATCATCAGCACGATAAGGTGGAGGGCGTTGCTCAAGCTGTTCAATGCGGGTGACCAGATTGTTCACGTTGCGCGTCAGCTCGGTCATAAGATTGCGTTGTAAGCTCGCCCTTGGACACGTACTCATTGAAGTCCGTCGGAGTTCCTGCCATGATTAGAAGATAGAAAAAGACAACACCAAAGTATTATCCCTATCAACTAAAAGGAAACAAGTGGTGGTGGTGGTGATGGTGGTGAAAATAGAATGCAAAATCACAAGCGGCTTACCACCGTCTTGCCTGTATTCTTACCAACGCTAAACAGGAGCAAAACCAAAGTGGCGAAGCAATCTGTTGTGGAGCGTGGATAACAGTTGCAAGATGAACCTGTGCTGATAGAAGAATATGTGGAGTTATGGGTAGGCACACAATATGACAGCAAGGATTATCAATTAACGAATGCAGATTAATGATTGTTCAATCCGGATCCAAAGTACAAATCATAGGTGCTGGCTAAGACGTGACGAGACGTAGCGCAATAAGGTGAAAAGAAAGGACGATCGAAAGAACTCACGGTACAAGCAGCCCGGATTTCTCCTTTTATTTCCAAAAGGCACTAATAGGAAACGAACTTTTTTACTTTTTTTTTCACTATTTTTTATATACTTTTCTCTGAACAAGGATCACAAAAGATGCAACCACAAAAATTGGCACCTACAACTGAGGTGGGATGTGGTCTACAGAAATTCAGCACGTTCTCTAAAAAGCGTGCAAAAACTTTGACAATTTTTTTTCTATATTTTTCCGATTTTTTTTGGCAATTCTGATGAAACCAAACAGGTCTGCTCTAAATGGTGTCAAGAAGCTGCTGAAAAATTTCAGATTTTTCGGATAAACGAGCGAAAAGTTATGCCTATTTTACCGAAGGTATCTCAAGGTATATTTTCCGGGAGGCACAACAAAAATGCGGCAGCTTAGGGCAAAGCGTCCCGAAACTCTAACACCGATCACAGGATCGCCACTTGTGACTAACAGCAGTGGGTATTCACCTTTGATATAAGGAGGGTTGCGTCTTAGTCAAAATAAGAGCGGTCAACTTTGTCTAGGGCTTAGAACCTTCAGAAGTGACACAAAGGCGGCTAGCGGGGCAAGTCGAGTAATGTGGTGGCTTCGACTTGTTGTTTGGAAGAACGGTGGATGGGATAGCGGTGGAAAACAAAAATCAAAACAACAGGCGATTGAACTACGACCACGAACACAATCCTAAACCAAAACAAGACTCGAATACACGGACACAAACTCAACAACACAAATCTGAAACGAAATTGCAAAGGCACAAAGGGGCGATAGGACAGCGGAAATTGAAATATTTTTGGGCTTTTTGTAGACTCTAGGTAATGAACAAATACGAATCTAAGGCAAACGAGATTATACCTCGCGATAAACCTGAAATATCTGATACCAATTAATGAGTACAGGCCCGATCTTCCGAGAGGTAGCCGGTAAGTTCGATTTGTGGAGATCTCGAAGCGTTGGCGATCCGGCTTCAAATCGACGCGATTCAACCCCCGCAACCATTACACCATCGCTCCGTTGGTTATCAACCGGTACAACTTGATTGACCTCGCCAAGAAGGCTTTTCCTGCAAGCGAATCGAAGAGCACAAGCAAGAAGGTAAAACACGCAATCTGATATTGCAAATATGAATGACGTGAATATCAATAGAGGGTTCTAGAACTCGGTTCCAAAGGACTAATCGACATAGTGGAGGAGATCAAGAACGGGGGCCCTGGATCACTGTAAAAGGATTTGTCACCACGCTGTGCAATGAACGATTCGGTTTCTCGATGGAAAACTAAACTCTAAACAAAACCCAATTGTGTAGCAGCGGCGCTATGTTTATAATCTAAGACTCGACCTAGGGTTGGGGACGGCCAGGGGTTGGCGCCCACAACTTGGGCTTAAGGCCCGACACGATACATGGCCAAGTTGGCCCAAATAGGTGACGCAACACCTTGCCGTGGTCACACAGAATGATCCACGGACCTTCTGGAGCTAGGATCAGATCCAAAACGACGGCGTCGTCGTCCCAGACCAACGCATCCAAGAACGGCCCGCTTTCGATGTCGTATGAGAAAGTTATGACTGAAACAGTGACGACGTGTCTGCTGAATCCGAGGGCGACGTGGCAGCTGAGTTGGGAACGAATTGCAACTTGGGGAAGACCATGGCGTCGGTGTGTCCAGCATGGCGATGTCCTCATCACTGTGGCCACGGCGGCCAGTAAATGGACATGATAGATGCAACTTCAAAGTTCAAGCAATCTGATAAT